AAAAAAGAAAAGAAAATTAAAAACAAAAACATTGTACTGATAGTATTTCTGTTATATAAAAGCAAGGGGGAGTCAGGGGAAATTTAAGAGAGTGTGAAAGGAAAGTAAGTAAAGGGGTGGGGGAAGGAATAAGTGGATCACAATGGAGGGCACAAAGATATTGTGTCTGATTTATGACTAAAGGAGAAGAGTGTTTTAGCTAACACCATAAAACCTAATGTGACTAGGTACAGAATTATATATAGAGATGTAAGCATTATCTCTTGGGCCTACACTTTCACTCGCCTACTTAAACCCCTACCACTTACTAAAAGCAATACCAATGAAAGAAAGAAAAGACAGAATAAAAAACATTGTTATCTGGGCGTGGTGGCACACATCTGTAGTTCCAGCACTTGGGAGGTTGAGGCAGGAGGATAACCGTAAGTTCAAGGCCAGCTTGAGCTACATAATGAGACCCCCATCTCAAAAAATAAAAAAAAACTGTGTGTATGTTGATAATATTTGTGTAACACCAAAGAAAAGGGAAATTTGAGAGGATGGAAGTGTGAGAGAAGAATTATGTTGTGTACCAATTTATTACATAGTTAATGTAGCTTGGTAAGAGCATTAATTCAGATTCCTATGGTCTTACTAGCACACAGCTACCCTCCTCCCTGTAGCTCTTTCAGAAAGCAATGGCAGATAAAAGGAAAAACAACTAAGGGAAAGAACCTCTTAATGTTATTTATACTTCTGTAAGAATTTGATCAGTATACTCTTACCCCTTAGTTTACAAATAGACCTTAGCTTGTAGCGCTTACATGGAGCTAAGCTCTAGTTCTCTGTGTTGTGACTGGTTGTATATGTCAACTGGTTTGAGATAGTTCTTCAGAAGTGACTTGTTTTCTTGCCTACCAGGGACAGGTGATCTAGAAAGACCACTGAAACTGATTCTCATTCGCTCTACTGGTAGAGTTCTGCTAGGTTTCAACTGTGCTTCTGTGGGCATGACAAAAACAGAGGTTTTTGCCTCTGTCTTATTAACAGGCACACTTGTCAATTTTTTTTTCTTCTGCAGGAGAGCACAGTGGGACTGGTCTAATGCCTAACCTCCCACTGTTCTGTGGAAGGGCTTCTCTGATCTCTGTCCTCTTCAGTCCACAATAATTCCTGTGGCTGCTTAAATCTCCTTCTGCACCATGTCAATCTTTATAATTGTGCCACTCCATTTTAGCTTTCTGTACCATGCCTATTATCATTTCTTTGTTTCTGCTAGTTTTAGGTTTAATCTGTTATTTTTTTCTAGTTTCTTGAGATATAATGTTAGATTATTTAGTTCAGATGTAATACAGAAATATATTTCTATAAACTTCCCTTTTAGAACTGCTTTTGCTGCATATCATGCTTCAGTTTTCATTTTTTTTCAAGGTACTTTTTAAAATTTACTTATTTTCTTCTTTGAACTACTGGTTATTCAAGAGCATGCTGTTTAAGTTTCATATTTTGTAGTCCATTATATGTTGTTATAACACAATACTATAGGCTGAATAACTTATAAAAGAAGAAATTCATCCCTTACTGTTGTGGAGACCAAGAAGTCCAAAAGCATGGTGCTGGCATCTTGTGAGGGTCTTTCTATACCCTCTACTGTGATAACATAGTGGAAGGACAAATTAGCACATATAGTTCTGTGAGAAAAACTGAGCCATGCTCACAGCTTTTTTGGATCCCACTCCCACAATAACAATCAGCACATGCTCAACTGGGGAGGCCGGCTGTAGATATATTCGTCATAGAAGAGGCCAGCTGTAGGCTTTTGCAAAGTGCCAAGGCCTCAGGTCACTGACAGTAGGTTGAACGTACTGTGGGCACACATAATGGAGGCTTGAGTTCTTCAGGTTAGTGGCAGAATTCACCTGACTAACTTTTATGTGGACAGCTTCATGTCTGAGCTGGAAGTGTCTACACATATACCCCCTGAGGTCAACTGTGGGTATAAGTGTGGTAATCAGGGCATTCATTGGACTTATATATGCAAAGCTGTGGGAGCCAGATCTGGCAGTGTGCTGTAAACTGGCTGCATCAGTCAGCCTTGGTTGTTTGTGACAGTGAGGTTGGACTCTGCAATGGGGAGCTCTGTGGCTGCTGTGGAATCATACATGGTAATTGCCCTGAGTCACTAGGCCATAGAATCCAAAGAGGCAGTAGCTAGGATAGCTACAGGAAAAAGGAAGGGTGACTTAAACATCTAGAAAATGAGAAAGCTGAATCTCTAATCTATACTTGCTATGGTACGGGCAGCTCAGGCAGTTCCACAAAGAAACGAGGTTGAGAGCTTATGGGTTAGAAACCTGGGGACTATAAAGATTGCAGGGTTATACTCTTGGGCCCACGCAATTGCAAACTGCAGTAGCAGCAGCAGCAATTACGCAGCTCCAGGTGGCTTCAGGGAACAAGGAGGGAGAGGTGGAAGCATGACTCATTTATCCAGAGACTGTGAAGGCAAATACAAACAAGTGTCAAAGGCTATAGATGGACTGCTGCTAATGCTTCTGCTGCTGGTGCTGTTGTACTAATAATTTACTCAACATGGAAAGCTACTGGGGTTCTATGCAGAACAAGCCACTGTGCTCTGGGACCTTGAACACAAAGAGGTCCTCCCTGGTGAAAGCTGTGAGTGATACACAGTGGCCATGAGGACTGTTAAGACTCTCAGCAGAGACATGTGTTGGGTTCTTATGACAAGTAAGTCACCGTGAGATGCAATGACTCTCACTGTCTTGCTTTTTATGGTTTAGATTGAGAATGTCCTCCCAAAGGCCTTTTGTATTTATAGACAAGGCTTTTGGAAGGTGATTTAATCATAGAGAAGATATATCTGCCTTGTAGAAGGTGTGGTCTGGTTAGAAGAAGTTATTTATTGGACGTGTGACCAGGAAGGGGATATCTCCATGCTTGGCTCTTCCTTTCTCTCTCTGCCTCCTGGCTGCCATGATGCGAGCAGCTTGCCTCTTCAGCAGCCCCTTCTGCCATTCTATTTTCTGTTTGACCATATCACCCATGGATTGAAACCTCTGCAGAACATGAGCCAAAACAAACCTCTACTCCCTTAAGTTGTGGGTGTCAAATATTATAACCTAGCATTGAGAAAGTGATAGAAAAAGAGCCTAACCTTCTTTATTCCCTAATATCACTGGTTGTTTACTCTGTTCTTTTACCCACAAGTGGATTTGTGAGCTAGAGTGTTTCTTTGTAATGAGAGACCTACCAGATGGGAGGATACAGGGAAGCTTTTCTTCTTATCCTTTGGTTATGTGGTTGTTCTCAGGTTTTCTCTTCCATTATATTGTTATGGATTCTTAGGTGAACTCCTAAACACTTCCAAGTTATTTTTCTTCATGGATAGTTGCTAAATTCTTGCTTTTTGTGAGAAAAACGCAGGCTGAAATCCCTTACTGTGCCATCTTGTTGATGTTTTCTGCTCAAAGATCAATTTCTAATTATTTGATGCTTTTTGTTACTATTATGAATAATATTTTTTAAAATTTTAACTTCATATTATTTGGTATTTGTAAAAAAATACAGTTGCCTTTTGTACACTGGCTTTTGTACTTTAACCTGTGTTTTGACAAAATACTGAATTCACTGATTTTGATAGATTTTTTATGATTTATAGATATACAATCATATAATCTGTGAATAATGACAATTTTATTCTTTTCAATGTATATGTGGTCTGTTTCCTTTCCTTTCTTATTGTATTTGCTGTGACATTTAGTACAGTGTTAAACAGAATTGATGACAGCAGACATCTTGGTCTTCTTCCTGATCTTATGATCATTATTTCTCTATTCATTATTTCTCTATTAAAATGAAATTAGTTTTACATTTTCATGGATGCCCTTTTTTACATTGTGGTAGATTTTTTTTTCTTCTATTCCTAGTTTGCCTATATATTTTATAAATGTGTTTCTTCAAATCCTTATTCTGTATTTATTGAAGTAACCATATGATTTTTCTCCTTTAATCAATTAATGTGATGAATTAGATAAGATAAATCCCTCATAATTATGGTGTATTACTCTTTTTAGACATTATTTTTCTTGTTTTCTAAAGTCTATGAGTAACAACTCATCGTAGTATTTTGTCTATCCATTTTTATTGCTTATTTTTTTCTCCGGTTTTGTTCATGCTTTGTGTTCTCATGCATTCTGTTATTTTGGCTGAGTACTAAATAATATGTAAGAAAATTTTTTAAGATTTAAAAAAAACTTTAGTTTGACATAGTTTTAAATTGACAGAAAAGTTCAAAAAATAAGTACAATACAAAAAATATTCATATAACATTCACCCAGATTCACTTGTTAACATTTCATCACATTTGTTTTATCATCTCAGGGTAGTCTCCCCCCTCAACTCTATTCTCTTCCTCTTTCTCTATGCACATGTATACATGCAGACACACACACACACACACACACACACACACACACACACACATTTTCTTCCCTCAGTATGTATCTGTTGCACACATCTTGGCTTCCTTATCTTTAAATACCTCTAATTTAAAGCTCTGAATGATGATTTCTTCAAAAATACTTTATTTTTAGTTTTCAGTTTTTCTACCTATTGGCAGTGGGAGAGTAAAATAAAACAATCTAATCTATTATTGCCAGAAGTAGAATCTCTGATTTATCTCTTTATGTACTACCACCAGGGTTATATTTGCCATGTTCTGCTTTACTACTATTACAGTTACTTTTGCCTCATTAACCTTCTATTTCAGAATTTCCTTACTAGTCCTACTTATTCATTTTTTTCTAAATGAATGTTACAATTAGTGTTTCAACTTGCCAAGTAATTTCTTTGGAAATCTTTATTATTCAGGGAATCAATTTAAGAATAATTGGCATTATTTTAATATTACTACCCAAAACTGGGTTCTATCTTTCTATTATTCAATATTTCTTTGCGGCCCTTTAGAAGCCTTTCTGTTTTATTTTTTTCTCTTTCCACAGCAAGATGGATTCTGGATATACTCTGAATATTGTAACAACCACCTGGACGCCTGCATGGAGCTTTCCAAGCTGATGAAGGACAGCCGCTACCAGCACTTCTTTGAGGCCTGTCGCCTCTTGCAGCAGATGATTGACATTGCCATTGATGGCTTCCTTCTGACTCCAGTGCAGAAGATCTGCAAATATCCCCTTCAGCTGGCTGAGCTCCTCAAGTATACAGCCCAGGACCACAGGTAAGGGATTAAGGGAGGCAAGAGTGAGTTTCTTTTACATGTTGGTCCTTATTGAGAATATATTTCTTTTTGCCATTTTTGATCTTCTATTAGCTTATCTGCAAAATAAAATGATGTGTTATTGTTTACTTCACAAGACTGCCATATATAAAGTGAGGGAATGCTTTTAAGAGTTGCATATAAAGTTATAAATCAATATATGCACAAAATCTCTATGCATCATCATTATTGTACAACTTACTCCTTACCTTCAAAGAGTGGAGCTTATATCCAGAGTCTGACAAAAGAAAAGTTTGTATAGATATTTTAATACTAAATGTATTGAGACATCATGAGATTAATACAAATTACCTTTGCCTTTTCAATTACAGAGGATCCTCAAAGTGGTGTCCATTAGCTTCCAGACACTTATTAGTCTGGCAAACTGCTTAAGTATGTATATATTTGTGGTAGACCTTATATATAGCTTGTACTATAGTCTTAAACTTGGTCTCATAAATCAACCCTGATACAAAAAGTGTTTAACTCTATATTCTGCTCAACTTGTAAGATAAAAACGTTTTGGTAACAGCTTACCCAACTTATACTGAACCTAGATTCCTACTGCAAGGCTACCTCCCTGGTCTCCTTTAACCTTTCTACTCTCTCTGCCCTACCCTAATTGTACATTATCCATAGATCCAGAATATCCCTGGGTTAAAAATAAAAAGAAACTTAAGACTTCTTCTGAAGGTTTTTCAAAGTTTTTAAGTATTTTCAATAAAATCAATCCAACAAGGACCAAGGAGGTTATCTCTCTCTGAATGGAAAAGATACCCCTCACCTCCTCCCAGTAAGGTACCCGCTGAGAGTAATCCGGAATAGCATGGATGGCTGATGGCAAACCATCTCCACTCTTTCACATAATGACTTAGAGCCTTAGCCTCTGTCTATGCTGCTTTAACTGGTGTTAAATCCCAGACCTTAGATTTATTGGCTCAGCGTTTAGTTCTCGTCCTTTGATTAAGCACTCAAGTAGAAAGGAGGCTCTTGCTCAATTTCTTTAATTTTCTTCCTCACTCTTATTAGGCCCGCTTCCTGGTTTTTTTGGCACTATTGCCAGGTTTGCTTGCAGCTGATTTATAAATCTAGATGCCTACGTTTGTGGTTAGAAGCCAGATGGTTTGGTATATGTCAAGCTTCTAGGCCAGTCCCTTGATTCATTTTGAAGTTGATGTTGCTTCTTTCACAAAAGAAAAGTGACAGCAAGTAAATCTATATTGAAGCAGGATCATAAAGCATAAGCAATAATCTGATAATCTAGCTTTTAAAATAATTTTTAAATAATTTTTCTGCTCAAGGAAGTTTGTGAGTGATTATATTAGCCCCTCTTTTGAGTTCCAGCACCTTATTGTGTCATGAGTCTAAATGGCCTCCATAATTGTACTGAGTGGTGCTTAGTGACTATAAATAGTGACTCTCATACAGGAATCTCAGTGGACTGTCTTTAGGCCAGTAGTTTTAAAATATAAATAGAGTGGTTCTGAAATATGTTTTTTTATATCACAGCTTCTCAAGGACCTACTTCCTCAGTATCTATTCCATGGAAACCAGCAAGAGGCTCTAACAGTCATAGTTGATTGATAATATTCACTAAGTATATTATGTACTGCATAATTGTTCTTAAAATTCCCAGAAAGACCATTTTTAAACGTCTCTTTACATCAAAACAACCCCAAGGCTTGGTTGGGTTTGGCAGGAGCAGGCAAGATATTTGCCTAGGCTTTGCCATTTCTGTGGTCTTTTAATTTGTGACTGGAAGTCCTGCCTCAAAGACCTGTTGAGTCCTTGATTTTCTCTCCTCTCATCCTCTGGGCTCCAGAGTACTGAGAAGCATAACTAGTGGCAGGCTATATCCATCTCCGTCCTTTGCAGTGATCTGCTGGGCCCAGTACTACGTCCAGGACATGGCCAAATGATTTTTGCAGATCACAGGAAGCTATGTTAAGGTGACAACTCCTGCCATGCATGTTAATAGTTTCTTGGATTTGACAGCAAATAAAGGGTACTGCCAGCTTGGAATCTTAGATACCTGTTCAGATAGATAGGTATGAAATGAAGGCAGCCAGAATGACCTCAGAGGAAGAGGATTAGGTGGAATGTGATCAATGGAAAATGATATTCCTCTTGCTTATAGAAGAGTGACAATTCCTCTACACCATCTTCCTTAAACTGATAGGAAAGAGGACTCTTAACTGACATGTCTGAAGCCTGAAAATCTTCGTTCCAATACTTTCCTCAATCAGAGGCAAGGTCCGGGACCCAATGGCTCTGACCAGGATTCAAACTGCACAACAACTATTCTCTTCTTTTTATATCCACTAGCTTTAAAGCTAGTAGATTTAGAGTCATAAGCACTCCTCCACTAACAATTGTAGGAGAGGCAGCCAGATAAAACTACAAATATAGACAGTACAATGGCAGTAGGGCCGGCTAGTAATTGTGGTCAGGCAGAGCATTGACTTAGAATCACCTGATACTTGGCTTCAGTAATGAGTACTCTCAAGCAAATACTGTCCAACAGAATTTTATAAGCTCAGTATAACCTAGTATAACCTAGTAAGATCCAGAAGAAAAACCGATCATAGCTAACATTTATTAAGGTTCATAATAAAGATTTTACTGTCTGGCATGGTGGTGTATACCTACAATTCCTGAGGATCACCATGAGTTTGAGACCAGCCTGGGATACATAGACAGACCTTATCTCAAAAGAAGAAAAGACTTTTCTAATAGTAAACTGGTTAGGAAGTGTGGCCTGATGCTGGAGATGATAAAATTCATAGTACTAGCAGGTATGCAGGTCAAAGATTGGAATCATGGAAGCCAAATGAGAAAAGATGCTGCATAACATCTGCTGTGGCAGTTAGAACTCCCTTCCTTGTGCCCATAAAGTTCCCCTCTACTGCATGTTTGGCGCACCACCCTAATATCCAATATAGTCAGAAAGAAAAAGGCAGTAGTTATACATCTTTTCCTTCCTTCATTTTTCTAATTGCTGCATGGAGGGTGAACAGATTAATGGTCTCAAGGCATTTTCAGCTTCTGTAAGGAAACATATCAACACTTAACTATAACATGTCCTCTTGCCTTACCAGTGTATTGTAGCTCCACTGAATGGCAGGTATATCACTTTCAACCTGCCTTTTACCATAGGTATTTGGATGGAAATAAGATCAGACAAACAGACAAAACTGGGCAGGATGTAACCCTCAACACACGCATTATGCAGTATCCCAAGAAGCTGGGTGACAGTTGTACTTCTCGGGCTAGGTGTTCGAAGGTATCCCATGTGATGTGATGTCTCTACTACAGAGATATTTGTAATAATAATAATAATCATAATACTACTTATAACCCTTATGATTGTACAAGAGCAAAACAATTTATATGAATTATTATATTCAACTTATTAAACCCCTCAACAAAGACTGCCATAATTCTCTCCACTTTATAAATGAAAAAACATTTTTTTTTGTCTTTTTAAGACAGGGTCTCGCTATGCAGTTCAGGCTGGCCTTGAGCTCACTTTGTAGCCCAGGATGGCCTCGAGCTCGCAATGGTCCTCCTGCCTCAGCCTCCTGCATGCTGGAATTAGAGGCATGTGCCACCACACCTGGCTTGAAAAAACATTTTGAACTTATATTTTTATTTTTTATTTTTACAATACATAATGATTGCATTCACTGGAGGAGTTGGTACATGTACTAACACATCATAATTCTTTTTTCATCTTCTTCCTCTCCCCTCCAACCCTCCTTTCTCCATCTCTTGGTCCCCCTCCATTTTACAAAAAAAATCTATCTCCCTATTTCTAATTGTCTGTCTTGTAGTTTGCTCTGTAATTTATTTATATTTTAGGCTTCTCATATAAGAGAAACCAGGTAATAATTAAGCTTACATGCCTTATTTCACTTAACATTATGGTCTTAAGGTGCATCCTTTTCCTAAAAGTGGCTCAGATTTACCCTTCTTTATGGCAGAGAAGTACTTCATTGTGTATTAAGAAAATTGAATCAAGGCGGGGATGAGTAAAACCTGTCAAAGGCCATACCACACTAATCGCTGACAAAACTGGGTTTGGACTCAAGGATTCTTGCTTCAGATTCTGTGTTCATAATGACAAGGCTTCATCCCATCTCAATATTGTTCAGGAATAAATGTGGTGTTCTTATTCCACAATGACTTTGAGAAGGCTCTTCCTAGAAATAGATGGGATAAAAGATGATCAAACTGTCTGGGTTATTTATTTGTTTTGTTCCCTTCTTGGTCAGTTTTATCAGATAGGTCAAAACATAGTGGTGTATAAAAGAAAAGAGTGATGGGAAAAAGTCTGCACACACAAAAAGTCTGCACATAGAAGGTCTATGGTTGGTATGGCAGTTTCAAGACAGAATTTAGTCACATATGTATCCTTGCTGAAATAAAAGACAGGAAATGTAGTTTTCTACTAGGGGTGGCTTGGGTTCCCATCTGAAATAAGTAGGAAGACGAGAGTGGATGTTAGGATTAGCACCTAGCCTGGTAGTTCGTTGGCACATTGATTCATCCACTTTCCACTCTTATGTCTTCACAGCGACTACAGATATGTGGCAGCTGCTTTGGCTGTCATGAGAAATGTGACTCAACAGATCAACGAACGCAAGCGACGTTTGGAGAATATTGACAAGATTGCCCAGTGGCAGGCCTCTGTTCTAGACTGGGAGGTAGGACATTATGAACAATCATGTTGGGAAGTCCAAGCGGCTTGGTGAAAGCTTTTTATGTTAGCCAAGCATGGTCAAAGAGGAATTACACTTGAAGGATTAATTTTGCTTTTTTTTTTAGTTTTAAAGATAAAAGAGTAAAAACATACTAAGGATTTAGATTAGACTCAAGGCAAAGCTTCCTGATAATGATAGATATTAGGTACTTAATAGCTTTCAAGGAATATCAGAGAAATCTTTGTGGCAATAACTCATTAGGAAAGGAAAGATTTGTTTCTTTTGGTGTTGTTGGGAAACAATTTGATTGATTCAGTGACCTTTCAAAGCTCTTGGAAGTGCTGAAGTAGTGTATAATATATACTTCAAAACATACTCTGGCGTTGGTTCTCTTTTATTTAACTGTGCAGGCTAGCTAATATCATTTTCCCATTGGTGAAATCACCTCATTCTGACACATCTACTAGATCTATCCAAACCTGAACAGTATAGGTCATGCCGATCATCCCAGCCAAATCCATAGAACACATTATGTTTTTAATAGAATCTTCTAAAATACAGCAGTTGTCACCAAAACAGACTTACTAGATGATCATGGATTCTTCCTGTTTTGTCTTCTTTGCTTTGTCTTCTTGCCTGATCAGAGTGAGAAGGCTAGACTAAATGACTTTTAGCAAGCCCACTGACTCTGAGGCACTCTCAAATTATGGTTGTTTAGCTGGCCTTTTTTGTTCTTTGGCAGATTTCTCTGTAAGAGAAGATAGCCAGAAGCCACTCAGTAGTTGTCCTTGAATTCCTGGAACATCTTCCTCCTTACCAAGGTCTAGAAGGCCCTCTAATTCTTCCACATATTCTGGGCCTCCAAGCCTCTAGTCCCTGGAAGGGAAGGCCGAGGGTTACAAGAATAGTTGGAAATCCCCTGGCCAACCCAGATAGCTTCATGAAAATCAAACTCATAGCACTGAATTGTGATTTAAAGACTCAGCATCTCAAAAGATATTTCCTATATGTTTCTTGGGGGAGGCAAAAAGAGCAATTCTAACATTTGTTTTGTTAGTGTGATTGAATGATATCATAATCTCATCCAAACCTGCACACCCCTTACACTTTCCTGCTAATTGAAGCACTTCTTCATCTAAATTGGTGTCTTTCTTCATCCAAGCTACTATAACAGCACCATAGATTAGGTGGCTTCATTTTTCACAGTTCTGGAGGCTTCCTAAAGGCCTCACTTCCAAATACTATCACCTGGATGATGACAATTCAACATATGAATTTGTGAAGGGCACAAACGTTAAGTCTATGACAAATCAGTAGGAAAAAATCCTCTTTTTCAGACTCTGACATCATTATGTACCATGATAGATCCAGAGGGGTTGCCATCTAGAAAGACTTTTCTCTTATAAGACCTCATGGGTACATTTCAAAAGTCAGGGTTTTTAAGGTATCTGTCATGTTTGTCATATCTGCTTGTAAAGACTTGTAGAATGTCAGCATAACGAACACTCTTAGAGGACACCTCCTGTAACTCTGACCATGGTTGTGTACACATACACACAGTAATACATATATTCTCACTCACCCTCATGTACCTTGTGTAATAGTCAGCTTTCCCATTGCTGAAACATAATACCCAACACTAGCAATTTAAAGGAAAAAAAGGTTAATGGCTTTAGGTTCAGGAGATTCAGTCCATGATTAGCTAACTCCAAGTCCGAAACATCATGGGTGAAGGGCATGGCAGAACAAAGATCCCTAGTTCATGATGGCTGGGAACCAGAGCAGGAGAATGGTGCAGGAGAAGAAGAGATGAGGGATCATATATAGTACCTAAAGTGATGCCTCTATGACACATTCAGATACACCCAGAAATGTGGCTTACTAATTCTCTAGGCAGCTCCAAAACCAGTCAAATAGACAGTTAATCTTAACCCTCATACCTTGTAGTGATAGTAGAAGGTTAGAAGCATATAGAGGCCTATTCCTGACCAAAGCTATAGCGAATAAGCTGGAACTTGAATCCAGTCCCTTGATTCCACATATAGCATTCCTTTCACTACTGCACCAGTCCTTCAACCTTCTGCTTCTTGTTGCCCAGTGCATGGTTTTTTTTATACTTTAGTGACTTGTTTGTGCAGTAAAGTTTATATTTAAACAAGAGAGTGAGAATATCTTGGAGAGAGAATGCTCCAAATCCCATTCAGGTGGATGCATGCTGAGGAATCTCTACCAGAAATCCATAGATCATAGAAATTCTATGGCTTGTTGACTCATGGAGTATGTAAAATAACCTCACTGGTTTCCTAGGATAGGTTCTGTGTGCATCCCACTTGTCTGAGAAGTTAAACAGAGAGAGGGAGAAAAAGGAGGGAAGCAGGGAAGGGAGGGAGGGAAAGAGGGAGGCAAGATGGGAAGAAAGAGGGAGGGAGAGAGAATAGAATGGTGAGGGTTGCTGTGGACAAACTTTACAAATCAAATAAAAGTAATGCTTTGCTGTCTCTGCCACCGCCTTGCCTCCCAGATGTTTGAACAGAAGAGATGGCTCCAAGGGCGTCTACATAGTAATTTCAGTTTCATTTGTCAAATGAAAAACTGGGGTCAGAAGAAACCTTTAGAACTTAATCTGCCATGAAGTAGAAATTGGAGGAATAGTGACAATTGAGCAACTGATGCCTACTCAACAAATCAGAGCATTTGGCTGGAGAGTAGGAAACCTTGTGTTATATCAAGGCCTGTCTCTTTTCCTTCATCTTTCTTCATGAACTTTCTGGTTCTCTTTGCTGAGCTTCAGATACCCTCCCTGCCTACTGCCATTTGATGGGGACCAGAATTTTTGAAATAGCCCTCCCTTTGCCCCATACCTCAGGACTCCTAAAAATTGAAAAGGTGAATTAAAGCATCACCCATCCCACTAATAAAACACTACAGATTAGGTAAGGACCAGGGAGAAGAACCTATTCCCAGAGACTACAGTTTGGGAAATTTTTCCATTTCTAATTTCTCTCATGCTGAGATTTGTTGAGCTGTCACCTTGATACCTTTCACATTCATCAAATCAACTGGAAAGGAGAGGAGAGGAGAGGAGAGGAGAGGAGAGGAGAGGAGAGGAGAGGAAAGGAGGGGGAACATCACTGACAACCTCTCTTTAACCATTTTCCCCTGGAGACTTTGAGCAAGAGCCCAAGTTTATAGTTTATGTTGAAGATCTTCACTGTGTGTGGTTATAATTTCTTCCTTCCTAGTCTGGTTATTTAATACCCAAGGGCCTTTTCCAGTTTTCTTTTGGGTGATTGAGTCAAAAGAACTTGAGGGAAACACTAAAAGCCCACATGATCGAGGCAGCAAAACATCTATTTTAGAGTTAAAGTGACTTAATAAAACATACTCCTTTTTTATTTTAAAGATAACAAAAACATATTAACAAACACACATAGATTTAGAAAATAACACAAGAACAATACAAGCTATACAGAAATAAAGCATACTTCTGAGACCAGGAGATCAAGTGCTAGGCTGGATGGGCTTGTTATTTTTGTGCAACATGGGAGATAAACTGGATGAAAAGATGACATTTCACTTGTCCTTCTTTCTCTGGACCTGCTCGAGCCACAGCTCCACACCAATCAGCCTGTAATTAGAATGGGGTAAAGTAGGACAGAATGTGGTGAATTAGAATTAATCAGAATGTGGAAAAGCCTCTTTCCCGAGACTGTGACCTCAAAGAAAGAAGATGATTGAGCTGGTAAGAAAGTGCCGGGCAGTGGTTTCAAAGTAAAAATTAAAGCTTTATGTAGTTTTTGGTGACCACTATTCATTCAGTATCTATTGATTCATGTATTAATTCGACATTTGTTGAGCACTGTCTTAGTCACTTTCTCACCTCTGGGACAAAATACTCAATACTCACCGTTTAAAACTTGAGAGATTTATTTTGATGCACTGATTCTGTCTATGCTTGGCTGGCTCCAAGGCAGGAACAAGATAGCAGAGGGGTGTGGCACAGGCAAAGTAACTCAACCTGTGACGTCCAGGAAGCAGAGAGAAGGGAAAATCTGGAGCAAGAATGCTGTATACCCTTCCAGGTCACACCCTCAGTGACACACCTCCATCCAGGCCCCGCCTCCTCACAACATGTTTAGTTAATGCACACATCAATATCTAAATCTACTGATAACTATAGCACGCCCCATGATCCAATCACCTTCTATGCACATAGAAGTTTTGTAGGACATTTTAAACTTAAAACATTACAAGCACCTACTATGTCAGGCTTCGTAATGGATTCTGGAAGTATGCCAGTGAACGTGAAAAAGTTCCTACCGTTATTGAATGTACATTTCAGTAAGGAACAGAGATAAGAAATTACTATATATGTTCTGGTAGTGAAAGAGGCTATGGAGTAAAATAGAGTAACAGACTATACTGATGTACTTCCTGAGCACATGACTTTTAAGAAAAGATCTGACAGAAATGAAGGAACAAATCCTGTGACCCTAGTAAGGCTGAGCATTTCAGTCCAAAGAAAAAACACAAAAGCCCCAAAGTATGGGAGTGTGTGCTGAAGGAGACCAGTGTGGCCCAAGAGGTAGAGTCAGGGCAGATGAGGGTTAGGGAAGTAATAGAAGCTCAAATTATGTCCATATTTCTTTTTTTTTTTTCTGGTACCAGGAATCGAACTCACGACCTCGTGCTTGCCAGGCAAGAGCTGTGCCGCTGAGCTAAATCCCCAGCCCTATGTCCATATTTCTTTAACTTTCAGTGTTGATGGGAATACATATGTGTAGTTTTGAGCAAATATGTAACACCAGGAGACTTATATTTTAAGTCTCTTTTTTACCAGGCCCTGTGCTAGAAGTTGGGGATATGAGATTGAGATATTGTCTTGGTCAACTAGTAGGGACAGAGATATTCCTAGCAAAGGGAATCATGCGAGGAAAATCCTGGAGGAACAGTAAAGAAGGCCCATGAGGGGTAGTAGAAAGGGATTTCACTTTGGGGGCAAGAGAAGGAGATGTGTAGCACGAGTAAGCCAGAGCAACCTAGAGTGAGAGCTCTGAAAAATGAGTGTCCTCTCCCATGCACAAACTGCTTTGGCGCCCTCTAGTGGCTATCTATACAAACAAGAGACCCACTCTAAATAAGGAAACAGGTTGAGAAGGTTTTAGCTGCTTTCCAAGGGCACAAAGTGAGTTGGTAGCAGCACTGAACCCAGACTCCAGTTCAGATGCTCACCTCAGAAACCTTTCATCACTGCTGGCTGCTCCTTGGGGGAGGTGCCATCATTCTAATGGCGTTTGGTCAGCATGGATTTTGAAGGGAGTTTAACTTGGGTTCTGCCCTTGGGAAAAATTACTTGCAATTTCTCTGATCTACATTTTGAGGGTAATAATTGGGCATCTCTTATTAGTTTTTTGTTTTAGTAGGAAACAGGATGTATATAGTACCTGGGGCACATAGTAAAAGTCCAGATAATAAATATCACGTAAAGAAAGCTTTCAGTGTGATGTGTACTTTTCTAAGCACTTTATATGTGCTAATTTAAATAATTTTAATGGCACCTAAATAAGATTAGTAATGTTATTGTCACTATTAAGGATAAGGAAACTGAGACACAATGATGATAATTAAGTTGTTCAAAGTCAGTCAGTTTTGTGAGCATAGTGGTGTATTTTTTTCAGAACATTTTTGCTTAGTGTTACATATGGTGAGTACTTGCGTGGTACACTAGAACCAGACAATACTCAGTAATCCTCCTAGTCTGATCATCCTAAGTTTAGCAAGTGGTACCTTTAAAAGTCATCTTTTTTTTTTTTTTTTTTAATACTGAGAATTGAACTCAGGACCTTGCTCTTGCCAGGCAGGCACTGTGCCACTGAGCTATATCCCCTTGCCATCTTTTTATAGCATTGACCACCTTTTATTCCTTCCTTTTAATCCTAAATGCTACATCTTCCTCACCTGCATCAGGGTGTGGTGTGGTGGACTGGTTCCACTCTTAGCTTTCCATCCCTCCAGTGGTAAAGCCCTGCACAGCTCTCTGGCCCTAAGGGCAGTCCTGTCCCTGCCTCAGACCTCCAGGGCTTCTGTGCTAGTTTGTCAGCCCCTTCTGGAGAATTACTTACCTAGATTTTGTCTAATCTTTAGATTAAACCTGGAGCCTGGAATTGAAACATTATTTCTGAGCTTCTTTCAAATTCTGTTATTGCAATATCATTCTATTGAGCTCCCCCTTTCCTTTTCAGTCGTTAGACTAGAAAAATAGTATACTCAAGAGCACCATTTCCAGATGCCCTTTTATTTGACATACTACCCTACTTAGGCTGTTTGCCTCTGATTATTTCTGGGGAGATGCAGCACTCTCTGTCTCTAACTTTGTATTGAATCTTTGTTTGTAAGGCTGACATATTAGTGTCAGAATATCAGAGCTGAAACTCAAAAAGATCATTCTCATATCCCTCATTTAACAACAGGGAAAACTGAGACCTAGAAAAAAGAAGTGACTAGCCTTAGAGTGACTTTTTGGACTAGAGATGACATAATGCAAGATAAGGAGTTGAGAATACACTTTGGAGCTGCAGAGACTAGAGCTGGGTTTTAGATCTGTAGCTAACTGTGTGGGTGATCCTGGCTTATCACTTGACCTCTCTGTGCTTGGAACTATAAAATGGGAGCAAGAATACCTGCCTCCCAAGGCTATTGTGAAGACCAGATGAGGTAGAGTGAAAGTATCTAGCACAATGTCTGACCTATACAGGTGTTAAAGTAACATTAATTCAGCATCCTGGGCCGCTGTCATTTTCCCTCTTCACATAGGCCCTAGGACACTCACTCCGGCTTTAGTGTGGTTGCCTTGTAGTCCATGATTTCTGAGCAAATCTGTGTTCATCTCTTCCACTTATATGTACTCTCCTTTAAGACAAGGACGAAGGCTGAATTGGCATCTGACAGATACTCCCAGCATACCTGTGATCTCATAGAGTTTACATAAGCAAGGAAGGAGAGCTTTTAAACAATATAGAATTTAATTATCTGGGAGTCAAGTATCTTGATGCTGCACTTTTAAAAAATCAGATTATGTAGCAAAGAAAAGAAGTGGTTAAAGGCTCTCTGAATAAAAGACCAAGGAAGCATGTGGTAGGGAAGTGTCTTATTTAGTCAATAAATTTTAATGAACTATGGGTGGAAAAGAAAAAAAATTACAAGAAAATTCCTGGATCCTCTTTCAGTCTTTATCATCTGTTTTCTTGCCCTCCCCAGTTCCCTTCTACTCATCTGGAAAGCAGAGACTTTTACTGCATGAAGCTATGACAGTCCAGAGTCTTGGACAATCCTGGGCTGTGGGCTTATTTGGCCTCAAAATTGTAAAGCCTTTTAAGGATTCTTGGGAGTTACTGCCTCCCTCCTTCTCCACCAGGCCTTTGCTGGCCCCCTGCCACCCTAGTGTATGCTTGGCCTTAGACCGTCCCTCTTGCCTGGCTGCCTCTCACTATCATGTGTCCTTTGCAGGGTGAGGATATCCTAGACAGGAGCTCAGAGCTGATCTACACTGGGGAGATGGCCTGGATCTACCAGCCCTACGGCCGCAACCAGCAACGGGTCTTCTTCCTGTTTGACCACCAGATGGTTCTCTGCAAGAAGGTAACCCTGCCCTCTTCTTCCCTGAGGGAAATGGGCGCCTCATGGGGCACCAGCCTCATCATCCCTAGGCTCCCAGTGAAGTAGATACACTTGCTGAGGATAAAACAGACAGAAGATTGGCAGCAGTTCCACATCAGGAGCACTGATGTAGCATGAATATTATAGGCAACAAATGATGAAACTGTGAAGGTGGCACATGTTGTCTTAGTATCTTGTTTTACCTTTGCCCTCATGATTTTCATGCTACTCCTTCCCACTCCCTTCACCCAGAACTGACAGCCAGCTTGTTTCCACCAGCTATTAAAAATACTATAATATTTCTATACCATTTGGTAGACAGTAGCTTCCTGCATGTCTCTCATTCCCTTTCTAATATCTCTGGTTACATGGCCTCTCCCTGCCCTAGGAACTGACAAGGGCTTACGGAACAGGTAGGTATCTTTGTGATGCAGGATTTTCTCCACGCCACTACTCATTTCCTACACAAGGTACACCAGTCCCCTGCAACTCCCAGCTGTGTTCTTCCCCATTCTCCCTTCTCTATAATGCATTTGAAGAGAGGTCTTGTACTTGTCACTGACCGTTGGGTTGTCTATAAATGTTGGCTTCTTGGAGTTTTCTCCTTGGTGAGGAGGAGTAGCATAAACACTTAGCATGAATCCCTTGAGGGATCCTGATGGAATACTGTTTCCCTCTATCCCTTTCTCAGGAGAGGAAATTTAGACCAATTTTGTCTCTAGGGACTCTCTGTGAAGAATTTGGAGCCAGCGAAAGTAAAAGATGGAGAAACCAAAGAATACTTCAAGTGACTTTCTCAATTTGCTGTCATCCCCTTATCCTGACTCTATAATTCAGTTCCTTTTTCCTCTCCCTCATCCATTAGTGAATGCATCTGAAGAAGAATGCTAAGTCAAGATACACCATGTTAAACAGTTATTTTTTTCTGGATTGGAACATGGAGCACACAGTTGCTTTGAACTCCCTGGTGTGTGTGTGTGTGTATGTGTGTGTGTGTGTGTGTGTGTGTGTGTGTATTGTGTATACTGTACAAAAATGATTATCCATTTGACTTTGACAGTAGGTTGAGGGAACAAATTAAGCTTAGATTGATACTGCCCCAGCATTTGGCAATAAGCTCTGAGTGCCATTTCTGGAACCAATATCTAACTGGTTAATGAGGACAATAACTACCTCAGTCTGGAGCTGACTCTGTCATTTTTTTTTTTTTTTTTTTGGTACGGGGAGTCGAACTCAGGACCTTGCGCTTACCAGGCAGGAGTTTGTGCCGCTGAGCTACATCCCGGCCCAGGAGCTGACTCTGGAGGAGAAAAAACTTGTATAAATCTCAGCAAAATAACAATATACTTTTTCAATTCCTCCAGCTCTTCCCAGATCTTCCATACAATCAAAAGTTAGAACTTTTGAAGGTTAATTTAGGAAATAATCAGCATATCAGCCATGCTACCAACAAGCATGTACCCATCTTTCCCTTTAAAATATGTTAATACAGTAATTAGTCACAGAGTTAGTAAAGAATTAAAAACTTCAATTTTTAAGCCTATGTTAATCTGGGCATCAGGAAAGCCTGTAGTTATTCTAAGTAAAATGTAAAACTGAGTTCTGTAAAGCAGTAGCTCTAAAACACAGGGCCACGACCTAGATGCAAAGCAGTGAGGCGGGGGCTAAGAATAAAGAGACTGAAACAAAATGAATGATAGGGTCAGTTTAGCAGCCAAGGAACAATGAAAATAGAATGATCAGTCAACTCTAAACCAGCTAGTAGGAACCAGGGATTAGGAAAAAACTAGAAGTCAATGGAGAATTAGTAGAGTCCAAAAAGCCAAACTGTTGGCATGGGATAAATAGGCAACAAGAATGACAAAAACAAGAGAAACATTATGACAGTCATAGCTGCATTCACATGAGAACTTTCATCGAGTGAGAACTTTAAGCCTTATCCCCCAGAGCAAAGCCAGTCTAGAGTCTAGTGTATATAGGTTGCTAACTCCACCTATGTGGGTCGTTGTTAACTGGTTTCCTAGAGAATGAGCAGCGACAGCTTATTTTTACAAAGGGCATTAAAACTGTCTGATGTTGGTGTTGAGGCCACAGTTGCAGATTTTCATTTGATATCTGTAACAGTCCTTTCTACTTGTCAAATGGGTTAAATTTGAAAAATGATCATATAGTGAAAAAAAGTTATGCACAGAGACAAAATATTTTGTTTGTCAAGTTATTTAAGGACCTCTTGCCATTACTATAGAAAACTATCTTCTTAAAATAGAGCTGAGAGAAATAGATGAAGCTTCCTGAAGATAAAGATTCCTTTGACAAAGGAAAGGAAGGGCTGGTACTACAGTGAGGTGAGTCCTTAAGGCTTCACTTCACTCCACTCACATCAGGATCACAAATTATGTGGACTCCCAAAAACTCGGTAATTTTTTACAAGGAAGAAAGAGGGTAAAAGAAGCTAAACTATTGAATGTGACTACCTTAAGCTTTCTGAATGAGCTAATGTTTCAAAAGGGGGAAATAAAGGCCCCTAGCAAGTGGTTACATAAACAGTGCTTTACATATTATATTTAACAAGACTGACAAAAAGAGCTTCATGAGTCTTAGAATGAATCAAAATTAGTTTTCAAAGTGTTCAAGACAATTTTGAAGATCTATTCAAATAACAGAAAAATAATAAGTGATAATCTGACAGTCCCCTACCTGAGCAGATGGTTTAGTGTTAGAACACAAATTCTTTTGCTGTCAAGGCAAAGAGAGGATAAATCTGACTAAAAGACAATAGAAGCACAAAAGATCTGAGGTTATAATAAAGCACATTAGTACTCTGAATTATGTTTTAAGTCCCTACTCTGTACCAGCCAGATCTGCCTTTATGAGGTTTGTTATCTAACAAAAATTAAGTATGGTGTAATTTTCAAATAATCATGTCTGAGCATTTAACTCTTACATGTCCTCAGTGGAATTGCTATGGTAAACTTGGGAGAATTATGGGTCCCCTGAAATCTATGAGAGCACTATAGATGGGAAAATGTACCCATTTTCAAAGCATAAACTAATATATTTCTGGAAAATATAGACTGACAATAAAATAATGAACCAGCATTTATTAAGTGCCTCTGTGAATCTATTCTAAGAACTTTACATTCATTAACTTAATTTAATCCTCACAACAAATCTGTCATTAGGCACTATGGTTTTTTCCATTTTCAAGATACGTAAAGTCAAATACAGAGGAGTCATTTAGTTTTCCCAAGGAATATTGACCGATAAATGATCAAGCCAGGAAACGAATCCAGTCAAAGTTACTTTCTAGATTGCACACTGGAAACTTCTATGTCATTACTGCCATTGAACTTATGAGAATTCTATAACCAATTATTAAACAATTTGTGAACATTTAGAAAGAGATGCAGTGACCATGTTGAGTTAGCATTGATTTCCTAAAAGCAAATTATGTCCCACAAAGCATCATTTCTTATTTTTGCTAGTAATTAGACTAGTTGATGGAAAGACTGAAGGGAATAGAGAATATTTGGATTTCATTCTGGCATTTCAGACTCTCCCAGGATTTCATTGCAGAGAAAAGAAATGTGAAGTAGTAGATGAAGCATTAACTTTACACTTAGATAATTCTGGGTGCAAATCGCTATTCCAGTACGTACTGTGTTATTTGAAGCAAGTGACTTTTAATTTCCTATGCTTTCATTATATCATTCATAAAATGGCGAGGATACCTTACAGATGGGTTGCAAAAAATAAGTGAAATCTGCTGCAGTTTATTACTATGGCATTGCACAAAGGATGAGAGATTACTCGGAGTCCATGTCCAATTGAAACTTCAGGAAGGCCCAGAGGGACTGCCCTTAACTGAGACTCTTCAGTACGAGTTTCATAAAGACAGCCCTGAACTGAAGCTTCTGTGGCTTTTTATTGAAAGAACCAGGAAGCAAGGATAAAGATAAAAAAGAAGAATGTGTGTGCAGGAAATCACGTAGGCTTCAGGGAAAGGACAGGGGAAGTTCAGAGTAGTCTGTTACATGACCAATTTTAGGATCAATCTAAGTAATAAATCACAGTATGTGGAGGACGAGGGCCTCCCCATAGAGCATTCATTCCTTAAGGCAATGTGTTTGGATCCTACTTGGATTTGTACCCCTGGTAGGCTGGTTTTTAATCTCTAACCATGCATTCTTTGATGTTCAGGGCTTGTGGCTCCAAAAGCCCTTATCTCTGCACATCCATCTCACACATAATTCTGGCCAATGTCCCCATAGAAATCAATGAAAATAAAATACCTGTTAGAGTATCTGGCATTTAATAGTTGTTCATTAGTCTTAATCTTCCCCTGTCTCCATTAAAAAATAGTCTTGTAAGGTACTGAAGTTCTCATCACTAATTGTACCCAAATATGGGCTACAAGATTCCTTGCCAGGGACAATATATGAGACATTGAAATACTCTATCCAATCTCTTTTCCAGTTCATGTGGTCCAATTGATAAATTTCTCTTACTTCCCAGTCAGGTATACAAAAAACGGTCCATTTTATACATCAGAAGTTGAAATTGAATAAGCCTGTCATAACAGTTTGAACAGCTTGTAAAGTTTGTAGCTTGTTTCTGTGTGAGGTTGTGTGCGTGTGTGTGTGTGTGTATGTGTGAAGGCGCTTTTAAAATGTCAATTTTAGTATATGGGAAAACATCAGTGGTGTATAATTATGTGACCCCCTTCTTTAACTTCTGCTGTGCATTCTCCTGTTACTTTTCTTTTGAAAAATCAAGACAACCTTTTTGTTCTCCTTATCCTTTGTGCTGGCTGTCTCAGTGCCTTGTTATTTTGTTTTGCACATTTTACTATATTCTTCCTGATATGAATATTTTGAAATTGTTTTGATGGTTTGGGAGTACTTCCTCCCTTTTCTTTTTTCCCTTAGACAATGCACTGTGAATAGGAGTATATCCTCTTTTTCCCTAGCACCCATTGAGTT